ATCTGCAGCTCCCAGCCCTCTGAAGCATCCCAGAGCATCTCATTCCTGGGGAGTGGGGTGCAAAGGGAAACCCCCTCCGGTCCTGCCCTGGGGGACTCCATGGCCCCCACAGTCCCTGCACAGTCCCTTCTTCCAGCTGGGACCGTCCCCACACCACCCTTCCCTGGGGCTGCCCTGCTCACCCTGCTGAGGGACCAGCCCCACGCTGGGGGAGCCCAGCCTGCCTCCCCCCACCGTCACTCCCCACTCAGCACCTGCTCTCACCTCCCGGGCAGGTGGGGACCGAGTTCACCACCATCCTGTACAACTTCATGTGCAACAGCAGCTGCGTGGGAGGAATGAACAGGAGGCCCATCCTCATCATCATCACCCTGGAGACGAGAGAGTGAGTGGCTATGGGTGTCCCTCCCTGCTGTGGGAGGGCTGGGGAACCTCGGGAAGCAATCCTGCCCTGCACTGAGCACCCCTGGGAAAAGGGGACATGGCAGCCCCCTGCAGCCCCCACCTGTGGCCCTTCTCTGCCGGCTCAGAGAAGGGCTGGCACAGAGGGACAGGGGGGCCCGCCCACCGGCAGCGGGAGCCTTCCTCTGCCCCAGGGGCTCCTCTTCCCCAGGAGGGTGCTGATGAGAGGTCCCTACATGCAGCGCCTCGGGCGCTCGAGTGCTGCCTGGGCAGCGCGTTTGTACGGAGGGATGGGAAGAGGCTTTGCTGGTCTGGTCCCTGAGCTGGACCATAACGCACTGCACCGAGCTGTGATGCAGAAACGGGGTCACTGGTTTCTCTCTCCTCCCAGCGGGCAAGTCCTCGGAAGGAGATCGTTCGAGGGCCGGATCTGTGCCTGTCCCGGCCGGGACCGGAAAGCTGATGAAGACCATTACCGAGAGCAACAAGCCCTGAACGAGAGCGCAGCTAAAAACGGCAACGCCAACAAGCGCAGTGAGTCCCCTTTGCTGCCCAAAGCCACACGGGTGCTTCTGCCTCAGCCCCTTTCCCATCGCACCCGAAATCGCTGCGCTCCGCAAGTCCGGGCTCAAATCCGCATCCAGGCACGAGGCTTTGACCTTCCTCAACTAAATCTGAGGTCTCACAAACGGGACCCACTCCCTTTGCCCTCCAGAGCACCGAGCTGTTAGTGCAGGGCTTGCGTGCCCAGATGTGTTTGTTCATTATTGTTACTAAGGAAGCGACACCGTCAGTGCCGGCACCCGGGAGAAGAGCCGGCGTCCGGCACGGTTCGAGCCTGAGACCTGCGG